TGCCCGGCGCGGGCTCCCGCGCTCGCTCGCTCCTCTGCCCGCGGGGCTCGCTCCAACGCCCAGGTTTTGTTTACGAGAGCAGCTGGGGGGTGGGGGCAGGAGGTAAGGGGGGGGCACGCCAGGCGAGCGGAGCTTCAGGGTCCAAAGGGTGGGTGGCCGCGGAGGCCCAGGGCTCGGGGCCACTGGGAAGGAAGCGGAGAGGGCGGCTGACAGGTGTGGAACGGCGGGAGGGAGGCCCCGGGGAGGCGCGCGCGCGGGAGACCCGGCCCGGCTGCCCGCACCCGGGACCCAGGCACTCCTGTTACAAGGGATGGGTAACCCCCCTTCTCCCTAGGGGGAAAAGGCAGGCGCCACACTCTCTCGTTCTGGACAATCCCTAAGGCTGGGCGCACGCCACCACCCCCCTCCACCAGCTCCAATATTTGAAAAGGCTCTTTAATCTCCCTTGGCAACGGAGTCCCAGGCTCTTCAACCTACCACTTAGAAAGTTCTGTTCACTATCTAACCCAAGTGATCCTTGCTAGCATTTGTTGAGCATCTACTACGTGCCTGCCAGGTGCGGGTGCAAATGCCCCGTGTCGATTACTATTCCTTTCATAACCAATCGCATTCATTAGTGACCATTGCCGTCTCTAACTGAGCAGTCGAGAGGCTGGAAAAACCTTGCTCTCAGCTCGCTGTCGGGTAACGGCAGAGATTTGAATCCATACCTAGATCTGGAGCCTCTCAACACATGTCCTGCTAGTAAAGTGCCACCTGTGGCCATTGCCGTCCCCAGAGATCACTCTTTGAGGTAGAGTCCCCAAGTTAAAGGCATTAACCAGCCAAGTCCCAGCCAACTTCGGCACACATGGCGCCATACCCATGTCCCTAGCAGCCTCCCTCTGTCTCATCATTTCCTGGTTCTTTCACTGGGACTCCCTCTGTCTCACCACTTCACCCAGGGAGCAACTAGCAGCCGGGTCCCCACCAAGAATTATGGGAACACAGCAAGCTATTGAGCACTGGGGAGGGAGCAGGCTCGTGATTTCCCAGAGGCTAACTGAATCGGGCCCGGTAGCAGGGTGGGGGCAGAAGACCCCTGTGGATCCTTGGGAAATGATCTTTGTTCTTGCTCAGGCTTTATTTGGGAGAAGACCTATGGAGGTGCATTTGGGTAGTCCTCGTTTTCGCTTTTCTCCAAGCCCCCGACCCCTCCCCGCAGCTTGTACAGAAATGTGATGGGGGGGGAGGGGAGAGGGAACAGGGGGCAGGCTTCCCCAAAGGCAGAGTCCTGTGGATGGTGGCACCTGGTACAAGGTTCACACTGCTGTTGCAGTGCTTAGGATTCTCCCCAGAGCTGAGGGATCAGCCAAGAAGGCAGAAGGAGGTGGGAGGGAAGAGAGCAGGGGAACTATCCTGCTTGGGCAGGATCATATTGGGACTAAGGGGGTGTGGTTCAACAGTACAGAGCTGGCCTAGTATGAGCAAGGCCTGAGTTTGAACCCCTGCATGTGTTCACACATAGGCACGCGGGTACGCACACACACACACACACACACAGTAGCTGTCAAATGCTGAGTTGAGTGGTCATCTTCCCATCCATAAGCTCCTCCTTTGAAACTGGATGACATTATTTTTGCCTGCCACTAAGCAGCAAATGCTTCTTCCCCTAGATACAAGGGCATCCTTCTGCCTGGAGGGGAGGGACACTGAGGTCCAGGTTGGTGATAATCTTAGGCAAGACAAATGACATGGTGTACCTACTCCAAAAGAAACCAGACTTACTGACTGCTCACCTTCTCACCTGTCTGGAATGTCTTCAGCAGAATGCTGAAGACAAAAAAACAAAAACTTCAACCAAGACTCCCAGACCCTTACACCACATGGTATTTATTGGGGACTTATGCATCCGTCTTTTTGACCATTCTCTCTGTGAAACATGAAGAGCACAATGGTCTTTAGCGGGGCTTCCTGAACGGGCAGTGCAGCACAGTGCTGCTTCACACTCTTCCACTCCATTTGGACATGGTTTGACTTCACTGGTGAGCAAGTCATTTCTCTAAGTCCCATGGAGTAAATACAGTCAGAGGTAGACCCAGCTTGGGAGCTGTTTGGATTAAACAGCCTCTAACCATTTTGGTCAATTCATTTGCTGCCTTGTTTTGCCAAAGAAACAACTCAAAAATACTCCCAGCAAGAAGTACAAATGGCTGTGATGGCTACAGTTTCCTCCTCCTTCTACAGAGACCAGAAGCCCCACTCTTATGAGCAGGCTTCTTTTTTTTTTTTCCTCCTGTGTAATTGTATGCCGACTCCTACAGTGGAAGAAATCTAAATCCCTGCTAACTTTTTGGCATGAAAAATGTAGGCGACCGGGAAGCCTAGAAACGCATTCTTTGCCGATTCTACCCCCCATTTTGAACGAATGCCTTTGCCCCTCCTGGATTTTTTTGTGTACTAAAGCTCCACCTTCAGGACACAAGTTCACATTTAAAAGTGTGGGAAATAGGACCCACAGAAATAAATATTTAGGCGTGTGGGTGCTGTGTGTCTTTGCTAGCATGCGCTCTAGCTCTCTCCCCACCCCCTCCTCCAAGTGGCTGCCTGGCCCTAGAGTACAACATCAGTGGCAAAACTTCCCTCTTCTACAGGCCAAGCGCATCTTGCACAGTGTCACTTATAGCACATTTCAGAACTCCTTGCAACACAACTGGCTGAAACCCAAACAAAAGAAGATGGTGCAGCTCTAGCTTGCAGACCGAGGCCTGCTACCACGGAAACAGGCAGTTCCAACTGATCCAAGCAGTTTTTAGATGCATGGCGTTCACTAGATAGCAAAGTGTTCTTCATGAGAAAATATCCATTCCCTCAGGCGTGAGAGGCAATCTGGGCTAACCAGGCCATCCGCAGTCAGTCTCATTTCGGCTGGACAGGACTTTATAAGATTCAGTGGTTTCCTGCTGAGACTCTAGACATTAAGAACTATTCAGTAGGCAATTGGTCATAGTCATGAGACGATTATCATGGGTTCTTCGCTTTTTCTGACTCTTTTTAATCTGACTGTGGTTTGTAGGACGGACTGGGCTGGTGAAGACCAGAAGCAACTAAAACTATTAGTTCTGGTGTTCACCAAGTTCTTTACAAACCTTGTCGGGCAGAACTTGGGACTTGCCACGTGGTGGGTTGAACAGTACCTGTGTTGTTCTTCTAGGACTAGGACAAGTCAATTTCTCTTCCTATATATGTGGTCTTATCAATCTTATCAAAGCTCCTTTTGGTGACTGATAGGAAAAAGAAATGAGCCAGCTTCCTTCCCCTAGTCTACTAATGAATAGATAGTTGAAAGTTCTTAAGCCTGAACTGATGCCGTGAGTCAAGTTGAACTCTGGTCACAGAGTTCAACAGAAAAGTCAATCACACATTGTAGCCAAGATGTGGCTGAATAAGTTTCAGTGCCTATCCAACATGGCCCCATATGGATGGTGAGTATCTTGCCCCAGGCCTCTGTCTTTACCAAGGAAGGTTGTATAGTTTTCCTTTATAAGAACAACTTGAGTTCACCCCCAACATTGCAGTTGTCATTTTCCCCTATGTCATGACGTAGCAGTTCATGATCATTCATGGATGAAGTGACAATCATAGACAACAGGTAAGTGGGACACAGAAGGAATTGTGTGTGTGTGTTTGTGTGTGTGTTTGTGTGTGTGTGCGTGTGCGTGTGTGTGTGTGTGTGTGTGTGTGTGTGTGTGCTCGCGCCCATGCTAGGGCTTAACTAGGGCCTTGAGCTCTTGCTTGGCTTTTTCTCGAAGAATGGCACTTTACCACTGGAGCCACAGCTCTACTTCCAGCTTTTTGCTGGTTAACTGAATGTAAAAGTCTCAAAGATTTATCTGAACTTTGAATTGATCACAACTTGGAACCTTGGTCCTCAGATCTCTGCCTCTTTCATAGCTAGGATGACAAGTGTGAGCCATTAACACATCTTTACACATGGTCCCATCAATAACTTTCCTTAAGGGAAGGGGTTCCCTTAGCTTTCAGGATGAGTACTCTGACAATCAGTATCTCATTTCTGAAGTAGCATGCTCAGAGTCGTGAGGTTTTTTTCTTTCTCTAAAAACATTAAACTAAACCCATTAGTGTTTAAAAATCTGAACCTACTATGATAGACAATTTGCTCCAGGAACATTAGAATGTGTTTGTGA